GTCATGGAGGAGGTGCACGCGGGGATCTGCTCCGCCCACCAAGGAGCCTACGCGGTATCAAGGAAGATAACCCTCCAAGGATATTTTTGGCCAACGATTGTTAAGGATTGCGCAGAGTTTGTGAGAAAGTGCAAGGTGTGCCAAGAGTTCCAGAAGGTACCGGGGAGGCCTTCGACAAACTATACCCCCATCAGCACCGTTATCCCGTTCGCGCGGTGGGGGGTGGACCTCGTAGGTGCGCTTCCTAGAGGTACCGGGAACGTGCGATATGTCATTGTAGCCATCGACTACTTCACCAAGTGGGTGGAGGCGGCCCCGTTGGCGAGCATCACTGGAGCTCAATGCCAGAAGTTTCTCGCGAAGCAAGTCATCTGCCGCTTCGGCGTTCCCGAACACGTAATCACAGACAATGGAACATAATTCGAATCTAAGCCCTTCAACGACTTTCTCGAAAGTTGGGGGATGAAGCACAGCTATGCGTCGGTTGGGTACCCGCAGACGAACGGGCAGGTCGAGAACGCCAACCGAACGATAGTCGACGGGCTGAAGCGGAAGTTGGAAGCTTGTGGAGGGGAGTGGGCAGAGGAGTTGCCCTACATATTATGGACTTACCGGACCACGCCCCAAAGGGCAACCGGGGAAACCCCGTTCGCTCTATGCTACGGATTTGAGGCAAGGGCACCCGCAGAGATCTCCATCGCAACCCATCGGGAGGCGGTCTTTGACCACGAGCGCAATGAGGAAGCCCTGGCAGCCGAGCTCCACCTCGTGCATGAATGACGAGAGGCGGCCTTCATTCGGGCAGAAAATTACCGCAGGAAGGTGAAGACCTACCATGATGGGCGCGTGCGCGCGCGAGGATTCGTTGAAGGAGATTGGGTATTGCGCAAGAGAACGGTGAGCCGCCCCCTAGAAGGAGGAAAGTTTGCCAAAAATTACGAAGGCCCGTACATCATCAAAGAAGCGGTGGGTCCTTCGACGTTCCGCCTGCAGACGCCGAGCGGAGGGGACGTGCCCAGGACATGGAATGCCGAGAACTTGGTTAAGTTTTATCAGTAGATCTCTTATGTACACGGACCCCAAAGTGGGAACCCGTAGATCTTTTCGGTTGAACTCAATGGAATGAAGTTTTTTGCGAAAAGAACCTGCTTGAGCACCCGCGCTCGGCGCTCCTCCTCAAGAGGGAAACTGAGTGCAGACCATACCCGGATGTT